TATATATGCAAAATATAAATAAAATGAATCTTGCCCTGATTTCTCCAAGGCCGGGCTCTTCTTTCGAAACCTCTTTTTTCTCACGTACTCTCCCATAATGCTTTTTATTTGTCCATTGACCTTAAGTTATATAATTTTTTAATTAGAACATATTATGGACAGAAAAAAGTTGGAGTATTTTTATATACTTCTAAACGAAACGATATTATGCAACCAGGTAAATTAATTTCCTTCATTTATTTGTACAGGACAAGATTACTGGCCTCATATCCGCATCCCCAACAAACCCTCACGCATGGGTTCGCGATAATACTTATGCTTCTTTATCCATATGGGGTCTTTCTCTTGCTTATCAAAAGGTTCCTGACTCAGATGAAGATAGAGCTCGCGTCTATGAGCTTCAAAAGGTACATTTTGCTTAATTTTTTTATTCTACCAGTGTGCAATCAAACTAATGCGGGGAATACTCACCTGTTATATGCATCAAGCGGATAAAGTAGAACTCTTTAAAAGAACCCAGGATCCAGGGCATTCACTACACGCGAAATTTGATTCAAGGACTTGCAAGACTGTGGTTGGGGATTATGAATGGGGACACTTGCAAATGGATGCTGTCTCATTATATCTACTTACTATGGCTCAAATGACTGCTTCTGGTAGAACAAATATTACTTATAACTGATATAGGCTTGCGAATTATTTGGACCGTGGAAGAGGTAGCTTTCGTTCAGAATCTCGTATTCTACATTGAATTAACATACCGCATTCCTGATTATGGAATTTGGGAGCGAGGTGATAAAACAAACCATGGGATGCCTGAGTTAAACACTAGTTCAGTTGGAATGGCGAAGGTAGCTATTTGACATTTTAAGATAGTTTTAGGCTGCCTTGGAAGCACTAAGCGATCTAGATTTGTTCGGTGCTAATGGTGGAGCTCTTTCTACAATTCATGTCTTGCCCGATGAATGTCAGCAGTGTAATACTGTTTTGAAGAGCATGCTTCCCAGGGAATCAAATTCTAAAGAGGTTGATGCTGCTCTCCTCGGAATTATAAGTTATCCTGCATTTGCTGTTGATGATCAAGAATTAATTGAAGCAACTCGTAATGTGATTATTGACAAACTTCTTGGAACGTAAGTATAGATTAAGACTGTTCCTGTTTTGAAATACATTCGGATAAATTTATCTGATATTAAATCTACAAATTTTAGATATGGTTGTTGCCGTTTTTTGCGAGATGGCTTTAGAACAGCTCGAGAAGATATTAATCGCTTGCACTACGAGCCTTGGGAATTACG